ACTCCAAAATCCCATACTTCACTCAATTAAACAGCAAAAATATTACTCAAAACTAGACTATTTACTGACAGCAACATATCTCCTCAAAATCAACACATCCTCATTCACAGCCATCCATTCACACATTATCATCCAACTACGCTACACAACCATCATGTCATGCAGACAAGGACACTCACTATCTCATACACCACACATTGATACAATCTTCAGCAGAAAACTAATTTCATTGGCAAGCGAATATTCACTAGATTAACACCAACTGAGTAGTCAGATAGAAACATGAACAAATGATCCATCATTCCATCACATTGTACAACTCAATATGACACTTTGCTTTCAAGACGTGTAAACATCGAATCGATGGAGAGAATTTATCTAGACTTAGCCACATCCCAGTCATAAACCTGAAATGCACAACTTCACATCATTCAAAATGCCTCCTGCATACCACAAAATATTATATTCCCTCCTCCATCCAACTTCTATGGCACACGTGCTCACAAATTACAACCACAATCTCAATATTCCTGACTGCAAGCCAACTCAATGATGACAACTGGAGACATCCAAAATATATACCAGTTGTCATTCCATCGACTTGCAAACTAGCCTGTTCAGTGTTTGTGAGATGTTTATAGTTCACAGACAGTTGGATCCTTACACCAAAGTGTTTGAGAATCACGTTCGATGTATCCAGTTTGTCGACACTGAAATCAGTCATTATGAACACACTGGATTGGATCAGCATAGATCATTGAGAGATCACTACTCTGAATTCACTTTGAAGGAATGTAGATTCTTACGGAGAGTTTGAGAGTGACCATCAACATTCTTCTACTGTTTGTATGATGATCGAGTGACATATCGTTTACTGACTGGTGGATTACGGGGAAAACAACTAGGATTCTGCTCATAGATACTTATGAATTTCGTTTGGTATACTGCGTCGAATTACTCGACGTGTGTTAGTAGATATGCTTCAATGTGGATGATGTGATGCTACAAAATATCCATTATGTTGTTGTTTGTTTGGTGGCTAGGAGTTGGATTTTGGACGTTTGTTTTTTTGTATTTGGAACTCATCAGTTAGACGTACCTAGTCGATAATGGGAAATGTTGTAACGAGGAGCAAATTGACTGATTTCTGGAATAAGATGTCGCTTTCTATTAAATCAAGAGTGTTTTACGAGAACCATTTTACGTCGTTTAATACATGTGCCACATATTGAAGCAGTCTTATTTTCTCGATAACGTTTCAGATAAAACGTTTTATCCATATTTTGTATCAGGACACTCAGTATACTCGGTTAACAAATGAGTTGATTTCTAGTAGGAAATTGAAATTGAACACATCTACCACATAAGAATGAATGATTCAATTTAGCCGAAGTATCTACATCTCTTGTGTTCTACATATACTTCAAATCGAGAAAGATACACTTGCTGTGTTCATGCTTTATTATGAGAAGTGTGTAACTTGGTGAATTAATGCATCAGTCTAATTCTCAGTGGATTAGACTCGTTTTATTTTCAACGGTTCGCCTTACACAGTTTCGATGGCTAAAAACAGGCAGGTAATCAAAATTTATGTCAGAGTGATATATAAATGAAGACAAATAATTTATCTAGAAAATTCCAAAAATGTTGATCTTATTTACTTAAATACAGATTACATGCTTGGAGAAGCTTGGAGAAACAAGTCAAGAGAAATATTGAAACCATATAATTTCAAAATAACTGAAATACATAAGAACCACAATTTAACCCATAAAACTCTTTGTCGAAATGTTGACCGAAAACTACAATAAGTTCAGTATTCATTTTATAGTTTAGCTGAAAACTTAGAAAAGTGCAGATAAATTAATAATCTATGCTTGACATAAATATCAATGGAATTTTGGTTTTGCTAGCTGTTCCATGCATACTCTTCATAGATATATGTATTAACTGCTTTCATCAACAATCAGTGCTCTCATTCACTTGAAATCAGAGTGGAGATCTATTGCACTCAGCACAAAGAACAAGATCCGGATTTTAAACACTCATTCACTAAGTCAGTGCAACTATAGGGTTCAGAAACTCGGCGCGTCACGGAAAGCATTTCCAACAAACTACACACATTCATCAACAGCTGCCGACTATGCTCACTCCACACTGAAGATCAGATCAGATGACCAGAATAATAGAATTAGGCAACAAGGAACTCTCGCTGGCTGGCTGGCTGACAATGAACCAATCAAGAACCCACAGCCCAACAAATATGCAGAAGAAGAAATTGGAGATGGATTGGATTGGGGATATACTGGGAAGACCGATTGGCGACATCACACGTCAGACCAGGACGTCGAGTGAAACCCGTATGGAAACGACGAGTTGAGTATCTGAGATGAGGGTGACATGGAGGATATGGTGTGAGGAAGAAATGAAAGTTGGTGGGCATTGGTGGAGTCAGGTTGAAGAGAGTGCAGAGAAGAGAGTGAAATAGAGAGGTGCAACTGAAGCCGTATGTTCCACTAGGAACCCAAGGGGAAAATAATAATAAATAATGATAATCAGCAATCAGTGATGTCTGTCAGGAAGGTGATTGATGTATCGAGAATATCAGTAAGTTTCTCATAGGCTTAAGTGCTTCAGTGTCTTAGAACATCTAGACGGTAAGTATTCAAAGTGATTTATAACGTATAACAAAGTATTTTGGCTAGAGTTTAACAAAGATGTCTGTGTTAAAACCTCTTAGTGGAATCAATAAATAAACTTCTCCTTGGATAATATTTGAGTATATAGATCAATAACCTGAAGTCATAATACATATTATTTATTATATTGGATGGGATGTGGTGATATTTTTGAAAGGTATAAATCTCCCTAATATTAGGAAACTTCTATATTTTTGAAGTTTAGAGTTGGAGGCAAATAACTTCATCATAAAGTATGAGTTCAGTGCAAGTATGTGCAAATATGTGGATTCATCTTCAATAATTCCTTGTTTTTGTGGTGAAAGGAGTGTGAAAGGAGACCGTAAAACAAAACCTTGTGAATGTAACGTCTTATGGTTACAAGAGTGTTTTTCACATGAATATTAAAATATAAGTTGAATATTACTACAAACTGCCTTTTCATCAAACGTTTATGGTGCCTATAAATACCTGAAGGAAACACCTGTCATCATTTGACATATTTGAAAACTGTACTACAAATTGGCGATTAGCTCATCGAACATAGAAGATCTACTGTCAGGTTGAATGGATCTCTCAGAAATGCACCAACAAGTCATTTTGTTGTGAAGTGAATTGAGTCCTACTGTTGAATAAGTGCATTCCTCAAATATGAATATTTTGTGGAAAATTCGTTTGTTTGAAATAGTGAAGATGTGTGAAATAACGTTTTGAGAAGAAACTGACTACCAAGGTTGATGCCAGTGACAAGCATAAAATAGAATCTAGCACTATCATGCTATCAGTTGGCACTATTCGAAAACTGATCAGATTCAGATCAAGGAAATTCTTTTCGGCTTTTCACATCTCCAGTCCTAATGATATCTAATTTACTCCATCTAACAATGATTCACTAGGATTATACATTCAATTTCTAATATTTTCTTGAGCTATAAAGTATTAGTTTATTAAGGCCAATGGAAACCATTATATGCCTGTCCAAACTTGTCAAGGTTGGTTAACCTCAACATTGAGAAAAATAGTTCACGCATGAAGACTTCCTCATTAACAATCATCTTACTATGATTTCTCATTTGAGCCGATGAAGAAACTATTTTCTAGTGTAAAAAACATTCGACACAGTAATAATTAATCATTGAACTCAACAGATACATTGCAAATTTTATTTGCTTGAGCCTCTGTTTCTCCCCAACAGGTAAATGAAATAAACCCAATACTTATTCATAGAATGCATGATCGTCCTATAATATTACATCAACAATAATATAAGCATATACTGGTTTATCCCATAAAAGTGACCTCAGTCTCTGAATTCATACCTACATGAAACGTCACTGAAAAAGTGCCAGTTTGAAAACCTTCAGTGTACTATGGCATACACAGAGTTGTAATAGGAATATATATTATTACTGAACAGATTGAGAAGTTCGAACACACTCAGACTGATTTGTAGACTTCACCAGTCAGATGAGAGTGATCTAAGCACCAGTTGGCTGTTTCGCTTTTCGGGAGTGATCCAGTTCACCTGTGGTGTGTCAGGACAAATTCACTCTGATCTGGCTAACGAAATGCTACAGATCAGTCTGAGGTATTTTTAACTACTCAATGGTTCGTTTGCGGTTTACTTCACTAGTTCATGACACTGTTGTGTCAAAGATCACAACCTGTGATCTTGGTTGATACATGGTCACTAGCAGAAAACCTCTTGATATCAAAGTCGAATAGTTGGAAAGTTACTTAGTTGTGAAAAGTGTCAAGGTGGACAGTGCGTTTTGTTAATCATTTGAGAATTGATCATCTTATTCTGGAAGGGATTTTTTCTTTTTCATCCACTTAAAAACATTTCCTAAAATTCATGTAAATGAAAAGTCATTGAAAATTACTCGAAAATAATTTCATTGTTTAGTCGGTACCAATAAAGATCCCATTATCTATTTGTACTCCTTTGAAATTGTCACTGTTACATAAAATATTGGAATATATCTAAGTCTTGTGTCATATATGTGATATATTCAAGAAAGAATAATTTTTAAATTCCTCTATTTTATAATGAGTATGATAGCACAAGCTTATTGTATACAATCCGGTGTTTATAGCTTAACCCCAGTATCTTCAGATTGGCAACAACTTTGAAAGACCTTAACTTATATAAACTGGGCTAAACAAATTAGGGATAATGATGAGAAGTACACTAGTCACTATGAGAATTCATAAGGTGATTAAGACTATGGGGATTATAATTGATAAGTGAATAAGTATAGAAAATTGTAAACTAATCCACCATAATGAATCTAACTATATAGTGATGAATCTACAGCTTACCAAAGGACTGCTTTTTTGCTGATTTCTTGATGTAAAGCTCGATTCATCAACCCATTGAGGTATATTTCCCAATTCCATATTCATTTCTTCACTTGACATCATACTTTCGACTGGAATTTCACCCGACTCTGTAATAAACAATAAGTGAATTCAGTATATGGTCAAATATTTGTCCCATTATTACCAATTTTCCAGGCATCTGTTAAAGGTATTAATGAACAAAAGACCACTGAAGATAATGTGAAGAGAAGGCATAAAGCAAGACAATTGCTCATCATATAATTGATTGTGAATGTTTTGGAAAGGTAAGGAAAGCTTTACTCAGTGATAATAAATGCTAATGAATTGCATTTATTTATATGATAAGAAATTATAGTAATTCACTTTTATTCTCCCATGATTGGTTATTTTTTCTCATCACACTAAGTAACCAATCACAAATCTGGAATGTTACAATTCAATGATATTGTAGTATTAATCACTTATAAATTTAGGTATCGGTTTAAAGCATCTACAATAACTGAAATCAACTTGTTATACAGTAGTAAGACTAATGGATCAAACTTTCTGATTATTCACTAATTTTAAAACATTATTTTGTTCGCTTGGTAATTTCTTAAGAAAGAAACAAAACAAAACTGTTACTACCAAGCTACGTCGCATATGATCTTGTGATAAATTCACCACCACCTGATAAATTCTATTATTTATTCCCTGTAATTACTTTAAACGTGACTTTTGTCTAGGTTGTTTTGAAAACTAATTTCCTTATAATTTATGAATACTTGTTATCTCTCCTTGGTATACTGTTTCGAACTGATCGACCTCTGTTAACAGGCGGGCTTCTATGCGAATACCTTGATATTGCCATATTACTGATTATATTGTAATTTCCTTCTGGTACAGGTATATCCAGCTGACGAGTTACAAATGGTTCGGTTGAAACACGAGTCCTAAATTCCACTGTCGACTACTAAGTAGACTAGCATATACTGAATGTTTGTAGAATCAAGTCATCCACATGGGAGCTTATCTGCCAACGGAAATCAAGCAGTTTGACACAGTATGGCAACGGAAAGTTCTATTTCCTGCTACTTTTTTCTGTTCACTTTCAATTAGTGACATTTTCTTCAGAGAAGCTTGGAAATTTTTACGTGGAAGAAATATAATTTTCAGGTCTACACTACTTTTGGATCAGTAAATTTGATGGCATTTCGTTTGTGCTTTATTTTCCCATGGAACTTTCATAAAATAACGGATAACATCCGAGAATACTATAGGTCGCTTTGTAGTATGCAGTCTAGCTAAGGTAGTAGAAGCTACATTTTAGCCTTTCCAATTTACTCCCAAAGCCTTGGTTTTGATCCGTCTAACAATCATCTGTCTATAAGTAGGAAGGCTGTAGCTAGTAATGGAATGAAGGATGTGCGTTTTGTCCTATTTGGGACTTGTCATCTAGACGCACAAACACCCCAGTGAGTAGTGCTATCCCAAGTGAGACTCAACCCTTGTGTCCATTGCTTCAAACACCAAGGTTTTCTCCACTAGGCCACTGAGGCAGGGTATCCACATCTTGTACAACGCGTATTAGGTATTACTACTTGCTAAAACTTGTAATTTTCCGCTGTTATACTAGATCGAGTTGATCGATGAACAACCAAGGTAATTTTGTGATGGAAATAATTCATCAGCATCAGAATGTTATGTGTACACAAGTTTCTTGTTTTCCCCATAAAATACCCTAAATCACACATAAAACTGCAGTTTCATGTTATTTTGTGATAAACAACAGTTAATCAACATATGGCTAGGTCACAAGGTTTCTTGACATTTAAATGACACTTTCAAGATGAATATTTTCAGCATAAATCTCGGTGACTTTCAGTGAAATTCACATTTTCGCGGTATCTTTTTTCGTTTATTCACCTTGTTGAGACATTCAACACTTCTTCAGATCACTTTCACTTTCTATACTAATGCTACTGGATAGCTGCCACTTGGCATAACTGAGTGGTTCACATCATAATTTAATGCTTAGATGTGTGCATCGTCTTTCATTTAACCATTCTGAGTGATTGCTGTACACTTTGTTCTTGACTGAAGTGATTCCTGTTAAGATATTGTTCAGCTTATTACATGTATAGAGACTGTTACTATCCTATTTGTAGAGTCATTTTTTGTGTTAATTTAAGTGAATTTAAAATGACTGACCATAATGCTTTTCTCCTGCTTCTGCGACCTATCAAGAATTTTTCCACCTTATTGATTTTCTTTTTGTTCATTTGATAATCTGCTTGCTGGAGCTTGAGCGTGTTTATAAGCATTAGATGATGAATTTGCATAGGCTATGAACTGCTAGTTTCATATTGATGTGCCAATGTAATGTTGCTGAATAACTGTTGGAATCCTTTGAAGTATAGTATGTCACAATACTGAACGATGTATAAACTTGATCTATTCGCAGTGATGTATACAATATCATTACAACCGTTTCCTTATGAGTTTCTCAAATTTTATCAAAAAAATTATGTACTTGCAAGAGTTTCCACAAAGATTTGTTTTACCTCCAAATGAATCCACTAAGATTTCATTTTTTTAACTTTCGACTAGAAGTATAATAAGACACATCTGTTGCCGATTTTCGACTGATAAGCCTTATATTTGCATAAATTATTCATATATCAATTGCTCAACTTGTATCAGTGTTCATTTCAACTTCCAGAACCTTTTTATTATTCAAATAAATAACATTAACATATTGAATATTGACTGGTCATTTACTTCTTGAACTTTGTTTAAGTATGCTGTACATTATGGTATTAATTTTAAAGTTTAATTCCTTGCTTTTGTGTTTTTAATGAATCTTATGTATTCTTGAAGTCGGAATTAATATTGCGGTCAGGGTATTACATTAACAAGGTGGCAAAAACTTGCATTTGCTTAAATCGTATGCAGTCTATTCCATTACAGTTTGTTTTAAAATATCTAAACCAATGATTTAGTTGATAAATGGTTTTTATCTCACAATGATCGACTAAATATTTCATCGTAAGCTTGTACAAAGTAGGAAGAGTTTTCATTCAATGCAAACACTTTGTGAGTGATGAAAAATGCGACGGAAACAAGAAGGATGGTGAACAGTATCATTTTATAAAACGAAGAGAACCTTTTAATGAAATAATTCTATAAAATGATAAACTGAAGCCTGGGAACCTAGGCTCGAGTTTCATAGAAAAATAGATTGCTACCAAGATTTTTATTGTTGGTTCAAAGAAGTACCAGCTTTGCAAACTAATCCCTCATATAGTACCCAAAATTAACTCCTCTAAAGGAAGCTTACCTAATCCCACCAGGTGAACCTTTGGCACTAAATTAGTACTGACGTTAAAAACTTAGAGGGATATAATCTAAATTAAACTAAAGTTCTAGCCTTGAACTATTAATACCAAGGATTTGATCGATATATTTTCTCCGAAAGGCTGGGTTCGTTGTGAATAGCAAAACTGAAAATAAATAGCCAGTTACTAACACAGCCTAGCCAAATCAGTTGTCTCTGATATTTCTTGTCTGCCAATTGTTACACAAATGAAACGTTTATTCAAAATTCGAAAAGTGAAAGCGACTACATTGTGGAAACAATGAGGAGGGAGTCAAAAATGCTTTATATGAAGTAGATTTGAAGAAAAGACGCAATGCTCTTTATCTACAACAGTCATTCAACTCCGCACTACTTTTGCTTAGTGTCTAGAGACTGAATTTAGGACATGCGCTTCGTAAAATTTGAGACTGATCATTTGACTTTGTCTGCACTCCAGTGAGTGATACTCTTCCCACTGGGATTCGAACACGATACTTGTAGCTTTAAACCACAAAGCGCTATCCAGTCGGCCACTGGAGAATGAGAGCTGTTACTGGTACAACGAGTAACAGGTTTTATTCATTGATATTTGCAATTTCTGGTTATCATACTGTGTTGAATTTCTCAACCTTTATTATCAGATGGGCTTCTATGTCGACTCTTTGATACTCCCAAATACTCATTATGCTATAATCTGCTTGGTGGGTGATAGTGGAATCCAAGATACGCACTTCTGTATTCCCATTTATGACTCATCAGACGGATGTAACTTTGCAGTCTAGTGGATGAAATTTCGACATTTGAAACGATGAGCACCAGCTTGGAAATTCAGTGAAAACAACATCATTCATTAAGATGCAAGTACATCTAACTGACGAGTACCAAACACAAAAACAAACGTCCAAAATCCAACTCCTAGCCACCAAACAAACAACAACATAATGGATATTTTGTAGCATCACATCATCCACATTGAAGCATATCTACTAACACACGTCGAGTAATTCGACGCAGTATACCAAACGAAATTCATAAGTATCTATGAGCAGAATCCTAGTTGTTTTCCCCGTAATCCACCAGTCAGTAAACGATATGTCACTCGATCATCATACAAACAGTAGAAGAATGTTGATGGTCACTCTCAAACTCTCCGTAAGAATCTACATTCCTTCAAAGTGAATTCAGAGTAGTGATCTCTCAATGATCTATGCTGATCCAATCCAGTGTGTTCATAATGACTGATTTCAGTGTCGACAAACTGGATACATCGAACGTGATTCTCAAACACTTTGGTGTAAGGATCCAACTGTCTGTGAACTATAAACATCTCACAAACACTGAACAGGCTAGTTTGCAAGTCGATGGAATGACAACTGGTATATATTTTGGATGTCTCCAGTTGTCATCATTGAGTTGGCTTGCAGTCAGGAATATTGAGATTGTGGTTGTAATTTGTGAGCACGTGTGCCATAGAAGTTGGATGGAGGAGGGAATATAATATTTTGTGGTATGCAGGAGGCATTTTGAATGATGTGAAGTTGTGCATTTCAGGTTTATGACTGGGATGTGGCTAAGTCTAGATAAATTCTCTCCATCGATTCGATGTTTACACGTCTTGAAAGCAAAGTGTCATATTGAGTTGTACAATGTGATGGAATGATGGATCATTTGTTCATGTTTCTATCTGACTACTCAGTTGGTGTTAATCTAGTGAATATTCGCTTGCCAATGAAATTAGTTTTCTGCTGAAGATTGTATCAATGTGTGGTGTATGAGATAGTGAGTGTCCTTGTCTGCATGACATGATGGTTGTGTAGCGTAGTTGGATGATAATGTGTGAATGGATGGCTGTGAATGAGGATGTGTTGATTTTGAGGAGATATGTTGCTGTCAGTAAATAGTCTAGTTTTGAGTAATATTTTTGCTGTTTAATTGAGTGAAGTATGGGATTTTGGAGTGTGTGAATTTGTG